AATGGAATTTTCAATTGGGAACCTGCTAGCACTAAGTTGCTAACTGGTTAGCAAGATGCTTCCGATAAACCGGCCACAACCAAACTTGCTTGCGAACCTTCCGCCACAACAATCCCGCCCCCTTGATAATCGACCAATCACATTCACTTTATTCATTCGTGTAAAGTCGGGCACCACTCGGGAGAATTCGGAAATGCAACGGTTGGAACAGCCGCTTCCCTACGACTTTAACTTCTTCATCAGCAGTTAGCTAGATCGTGCATCGGAGATGACATCCATGTCAGTATAAGGAACCAAATTTCATCGCTGATGCTAATCTTTCCATTGATACTTTATTGTAATAACCTTAATATTTGTTTTAAAGATACTTTGCTTCAATGGTATACCATATAGTTATCTGATATTAAAGCTAATAGATGCTGCTTATGTAAAGTTGCACACCTCTAGTTGATAAAGGTTCCTGAACTCCTGGCATCAGTTCCCATTAAGTACTACTGGATTTGCAGTGATTTTGACTTAATTAGAAGATTAATATCTTAAAAACAGCAGGGAGGGGCCACTGCAGGGTTTCCTCCATCATAAGCATCCACAGAACCTCCATTCAGAAATAGCCAAGCCACTATGGCTGCTGGTTCTTCATCTCCTTTCTCCACTCATAGCATCATCTGGAAAGAGGTATTTCCACCAAATCCATCCGAGTGCAGATATATTGCAATAAATAGGAAACATCTGCCTGTTTCCAGTGGATTGATGAGGTTAAAACCATCCCTGATCTGTTTGTTTACTCTGCATTCTAATGAACCAGTGAGGCCCTCACAGGGCAGCTGTATTCGAAAGCTAAGGTTTAATGGATGTTTATTAAGGATTATGTGACTTCTGAAGGCAGATGCTTCGATTTTATTTTATTTAGGAATATTAAATTAACACATTGCAGAAAACTGCCCTTAAAGTAGATATAATCCTAAAATTCATTTTCATTCACAGATATTACTGTGTTTAAAACTGCATCTCTAAATTAAATTTAGCCTTTTTTTGGAGGAGAAACTGCATGTATAAAACTCTCTTTTTGGATTGAATAAAATCAGGGAAACATTTATTAGCTTTACTTATTCACCGACAGCATGTAGTTGCTATTACTGTAGTAAAACAATCTGTTATTTAATAGCATTTTAAGAAAAGCATTAAAGAAGTGGGTAATAACTGCATTTTAATGGCTGGTTTAAAAGCCACCCAGATTGGGAAAGGCCAAAATCGTGGTGAGTAAGCGGATTACAGTTATAATTACCCAACTAAGAACATTTCACTGGTTTTACCCTTGATTTTGAATAATTTATCAATTAACTACAATTCCCAGTCCTGGGTTAGTATATATTCATAATCTACAGGTAAAATATCACAACAGTGATGATATTTATTTTTCCAGAGCAAAGTTTTAAATTCCCTTGAATTATAAAGCAGAATATGTTTTATTATTAAAGTATCTGGTTTATAATAATATGCCCGAAAAAGGCAGTTTCTTATTGAGAAGTAGAAAAACATTGGAGGAGTTAGCTTGTTTAAATGAAATGTTAAATATGGTGGTAGTTTTATTTTTACGCAGAAAGCCCAAACCTTTACAAAAATAGTGCCAAAAGTTCAATTCAGAGGCCCAATGATGAGTAAAATGATATTTGATTTAGTCTAACTTAAAAATGATGGTTTAATTTCATGCATATCAAAGCAGACACGGCACCCATGACAACTCTGGATGAGCTGCAGAGATCCCCGTCTCGTGCAGGTGGTTCTGGTCCTTTAAAAATAAATATTTGCTCTGTAATCCACTTATTAAGAGGGGAAAAATAAATTTATTGTTTAAGGAAAGTTTAAGAAACATACATGTTGGTTGCCAGGTTGATGAGAGTAGGTTGAGGACAGGGGCAGATTTACCATTAGGCAATAATAGGCAGGTGCCTAGGGCCCCATAAAACTCTGTTTCCATGTATGGTTAATACAACTATTCCTTATTTGTGCACATTAATTATGTTTTTGGCTAAAATGCCATCAGAACGCTGATAATATTAAGTGTGTCTCAGCCCCCCCCCTTCAGTGTCCACCATATTGGATCAGTCCATTTGCTGCACATGTTCAGAAAGGTCCAAACAGACAGCAGCAAACCATTTGAAAACAAACCATGCAAAGAGCAGTGTTGCCAACTTAGCGCTTTAGTCG